GTATGCAATGTGTTAATTATTGAAACTGTCCTACCAATTTGGTTTGAAACTGTCTCATTGCTATTTGTCTCTCAATAAAATTATGGAAAAAAAAAAAAGATACACAATATACTCATGTATTGAAACCTGACAGGGTAGCCTGTTAACAGGCACAATTTTTATGTAGCAGTTAAATATCTAGAACACTTCTTTAAAAACATCAAATCTTCTATTCTTAATTGCAGAGCACATTAAAAAAACTGACATTCTATTTCTGCAATATTTCAGTCTAAACTCATCTAATAATTATTCATATTAAGTACAAAATATCGTAACTGCAGGAACTTTTTGAGATAACTATAGGGCTTTCAGAGGGAGTGGTTTCCAGTACTGGAGACTGAACCCAGAGCCCTGGCATTGGGCTACAAACCATTTTTACTTATCCATACTTTATTTTGGTACAGGCTCTTCCTAAGGCACCCAGGCTGGGTAAGAACTTGCAGCCCTCCTGCCTCAGCCTCCCGGTAGCCCTCACCAGGCCACACAGCCGACCGCAGATTTACATGGAGCTGCAGGAAAGGCCCTGAGTAGCCAAGACCCAGCTCCCCCAAGTGCTAGCGTCATTCGGCGCCTCAGTCAATTCTTACAAGCAGGACAGGGACCCCAGCAGCATCCTGCCCCTTCCTCCCAGAGGGCTGCATGCACAGGTGCATGCATCTCACGCTACTCCGGGTGTGTGCGTCACCCCGGCAGCCTGACATGGCAGCTACTTGGCCTCCCCACTGCCAGCTGCCACCCATCTTGCTTTTGCCAATCAAGCGCTTATCCTACTGAGCCATCTCCCTGGCCCCCATCTTGCTTTTGATTTGCAAAAAGGCTGTCTAGTCTTCGTGCCAACCATACTGCAACCCCAGAAACGCCTCCCCTACAATGTCTTTGGCATAGATCATTCCTTCTACAAGGGCCAAATAATGCATAGCATTTTATGGTCTCTTCCGCTTTTCATTCTCCTGTTCTATTTTCCTGGCCATTGACTGGTGAGTTTCAAGCCCGGTACTGGGAATGGAAGCCAGGGCCTTCATGCTGAGCTGTAGCCCCAGACCTCTTTAATTTTTTATTTTGAGCCAGTCTCGCTAAGTTACCCGGGTTGGGCTGGAATTTGCAGTCCTCCTCCCTCGGCCTCCCAGAGGGCTAGGATTACAGGTATACACCACATCTGGCTGACATTAACTCTGTGCAGTCAAAACCGATTCATAGGCTGGAAATGCACCTCAGTGGGGGCTGCCTGGCTAGCAGGTGCAGGGTTCTGGGTTCAAGTCCTGTTTTTCCTCCCTATTTACTCAAATGCCAGTGTCTGTAATTCTGCAGAATCTTAATTCTCTTTAGAAATACAAAAATGCAGGAAACACAAAATTGCTGAACAGACCATATGTGGGGCTGGAGTGGGCAGGCAGAGTCTAACCTCCTCCTTACTCAAGACCTTTATGCACAAACTCTAGAGTGAGCGTGTCACTGTCACTGTGGCCTTGGGACCAGGTGGTGCAGGCAAGGTCTCTGTGCACACGTACAAGATTCCCAGCTTCCCGAGGAGAAGGCTCCTCCTTCCTCCCAGGGCAACAGGAAAGCCTGATCCCAACAGGAAAGGTGGGCATGAAACACCACACCTGCTTTTTTCCACCAAAGAAGGGTTCCTGGGTAAACAGCTGATTTTTTAAAATTCCACTTGTAAGGATCATAATGTGGTAATTTAAAACCATGAATTACGTTCATTTTTACTAATTATTTTTGTTTGGATTTACAACAAATGGATCTTTTCCTGGATTTAATTTCTTTTGCAGGGGCCGGGGAGATGGCTCAGTAAAATAAGCGCTTCCCTGGAAAGTATAAAGGTCTGAGTTCAATTCCCAGTTCTGCCAAAAAAAAAAAAAAAAAATCCAGTAATTGAGTGAACTGGATATGTAAATTAATTTATTTTGTAGCAGGAATTGAACTCAGGACCTTGTGCTTGCCATGCCAGCACTGTACCACTGAGCTAATCCCTACCTCAGAATGGATCTTTGCTTGAAGGTATTTCCCAGCCTATAAACACAGAGAACTAGACAGATATAAACACGGAGCTGCCCCCAAATCAAGCATCAGCACTCATTACTAATTACTACATCTTGCACTCTGAATCTTTTACTCTGAGTAACTACTATGAAACTGATGTATTTGAAACTGACATTTCCATGTACTTAATTTCCTCTCTACCACAAGTTTTATGCTGTATTCAATTTGCTAAAAATAGATGAAGGCATTTTTATGAAATATTTTTTAATGTGAAAAATTCACAAAGATCTTCATCTCAGCCCAATTATCCTTACCTTCCTTTCTTCAGCTGACAAAACTCTAAATCGAATCATTCCTTCTTTTATTATATCTGCTTCGTCTGAAAAGTCAGGCTTGTCAGACAAAATATTACTTCTGTTTTCTTCCAGCCACATCTGGAACCCAGTCTTTGGCCTAAAATAGTAATTGCAAATAAAATGTATCATCAGGACACAGCTTAAAAGAGTTTTCCGGTTTGAGACAGGGTCTCATTATGTAGTCCAAGCTAGTCTCGAACTTGTGATTTTCCCCCTTCAGCCTCCCGAGTGCTGGGACTGCAGGTGTGGGGCACCACCACCTACTCTTACCACTTTTTAAATTAGTAATCAGCCAGTCTTTGCCTACCTATATAAAGGGAGACCCACCTCCCTGTAGACATTCATATTACTCTAAGTGTCCAAGAACTGCAATTAGTGAACTAAAAAATCTGCTGTACAGCCAATCCAACAGGCTGCTTCTGTGCATGTTTCCTGAGGGCAGCAATGTGAACTCCCTGCTCCAGGTCCCTCATTTGGCCCTGCAGCCCCATCCTGACTTCCCTCAGGCCCTTCTGACCTCAACCCCTCTCCCTTGGTGTCTGGCTGCTGTCCCCATGGGTACCATGGCACAAGGCCTGCCTGTGAACAATGGCAGGGGAGCCTTCTGGGCCCCAGCAGTGCCAGCCACCCGGCTCTCTAGGACTGTGTGTGAACACCTGTGACTTACTGGACAATGGCTGTGACTTGCTAACAATGAGTACCCCACACCAAAGCCAAGGAGGGGAGCTGCCAGCTCAGGGGGTACTAAGGCCGGCGCCAGGCTGGGCATCAGCAGCCAGGCGGTGTGACCCATGGTCCCCATATTTACCATCACTACACTGCCACTCTATACAAGCACAGCCCAGAGGGTAAGTTTAACGACACCACAAGGACACCAGGGGAAAATGTGCATGGCAAAATTCTAAATGGAAGCAGGAATGGCAGGGCACGCCCGTGATCCCAGCACTCGGGAAGCTGAGGCAGAAAGACCATGAGTTTGAGGCCAGCCAGGGAGACCCTATCTCCAAAAAAAGTTTAAGTGGCAACAAAAATATAGAATGTAACACTGTATCTCTAATACAGACCTCATTAAACATAAAAGTTTAAATTTACTAAAAAGCATTAGAGGGGCTGGTAAGATAGTTCAGTTGAATAAGCACTTGCCTGGCAAGTGCAAAGGCCTGAGTTCAATCACCGGTTCTGCAAAAAAAAAAAAAAAAAAGATAATAAAAAAATAAAAAGCATTAGAAGGACTACTTCTATAGAACAGTAAAACCAAGTTGTCTAACCTTTTAGAATAGCAAGTGGTGGCCAGAGAGATGGCTCAGTGGAATAAGCGCTTCCCTGGCAAGCGCAAGGGTCTGAGTTCAATCCCCGGTTCCGCCAAAAAAACAAAAACAAAAACAAAAACAAACAAACAAAAAAAAAGAATAGCAAGTGGTTAAAAAATATTTACAGTATGACTATAATAACCATGTGCTCGATGTCTGAAAAGTGTACAAATTTCAAGTAATCTTAATCTTATTCCTAAAAAAAAATTACAAACAAAAATCAACGCTAAACAAAAGTTCTTGAATTTCCAGACATTAGAAGACTCATTTTAATCAAATTTGGGGCAACACCGCAAGTCTGACTAATAGCATGCAATCTTCTGCATCTAAACAGCTGTTATTCAAAGGAAAACAAAACTATTTCCTTCTGATTCAGTACATAAACATCTGTGACAAAATATCTGATTAAATACGGTAATTTCTTAGAGATTTTAAACTTTATTTTTAATGTATTTGGTACAAGGTCTCACTACACAGAGCGGACTCATAGTCATCCTCCTGTTTCAGCCTCACCAGCGCTGGGATTACAAGCGTGCACCACCAAACTGGGTCTTGGTGGCCAACTCAGCATGCCCAGAGGCAGGGCCAACGTGGCAGTGTGGTAGCAGGGATCGAACCCCGTATGCACAATGGAAGACACACTTAGCCCGCGCAGCAGTGGCCTGAGCGCTGCCTGTGTATGCGCCCTGTCCACCGCTGAGCACAAAGCTACCAGGCGGGGGTCTGAACAGCCCGCCACCTGCCTGCCACTCCCAGGTCCCAAGCTCGGTGCACGGGCCCCTAGGTACCAACCTCTGCGCTTCAGCGTTCGGCGAGCACACAGCTGGGGCTGCAGGTGACACATCTTTAGGGTTTTCTTCTTTCACTCCCTCGGTTTTATCAGCCTGAGAAGTTCTCTTCTGGAAATAGGATGCTGCAGAGGCCTAGAAAAACAAGCAGCAGCCCTGAATCCAACAGAATTTTGACTCATGACATTCTGACAGATGTAGAGAAACATTTACAATTCACACTTTACAAGTGAAGTTTTTAATTTCTCAGCTGAAAATAAACATACACACACACACAAAAACCCAAGAATACTATGTCACATTCTGTGTCTTCCAAACAGGTCCAATTACAGGAAATGAAGAAGATAAGTAATAGGCCCATTTAACTGATGACATGTGGGTAGAATACATGTGCAGCAGTAGACCAATTCAAAATACAAAACGGGGTACACCACAACCACCTGCGATGTTTTCAAAACATACAGACAGATGCCGAGGCTCTAAGGACAGATGGAGACAGAGACAAGGAGACAGACACACAGACACATACACACACATACACACACATGCACAGTTCCAGAGCAGACCCCTGACCAAAGCCACTTCTTGGCTAGACAATCAGGGACACCACAGCTCCTCCTGACACGCAGACCTGTGCAGCCGTCAAGTGCGGGCATGGTTAGTGCAGTGGTACCTGCTTAGACTTTGGCTTTGGAATCAGAGGCTTGATAACGGGGGACTTCTCGCTACCAGCCACTCGATTGGGCGCAAAGGGTTTCCTGGAGGATTTGCTCATACTGTCTAAGATGTTCGTTGAACGTGGCAGGTTCACGGACACGGCTGGCTCTTTGGAACTGGCTAATACCTAAGAGTAAGCATCTTATCTTTAAAGAAGGAAACAAAAATCCCAACAGATTCCTTGTTCCTTTAAATTTCCGTCCCATCTGTAGTGTGGTCTCATCTTTGGAAATGACATGTGGCTGCCACCCAAAGTCAAGGCGACGCATATAATCTCATCTACCACGCACCCCCAAGCAGGCTTGAAGCCAGCAGCACTTAGAGGGAAGGTATGCAGAAACCCAACACTCCGCGCAGTGCGACCCCGGCCACTTCCTTTTCTCTAATCTGGGGAGGCCACGGGGGGCCATCCAGAGATATTTCTGGGCCCGCTCGCGTATTTACCGAAAACACCATGGGGCATTTACCTTGAAGGGGTTTACTCGTCCTTGGTTGCTAGGAGTAACTGCACCTTTCACAAGAAAGAGACCTGTACTTAATGCTCGTGGCAAAAAGCAGACGCCCTCCCCCTTCCACAATAGCGCCCTGAACGCTTCCATCTGCACGCAGGAGACAACGGAGGTACTGGTCACCTGAAACTTTCACTACAAACACGACAACGGCGCCCCTCCTTCCAACACACGAGGCCGAGAGGGGGACCGGCCCTCCGGAACCGTCTCCCCCTCCAGACGCACGGCCCGCCAGCCTTCATGCTCACAGCTTGCCATGCTGAGTCCAAGCTGTCGCCCTCGTCACTGTCTCCACCAGACCCTTCCCAAGCCCCGACGCCGTCCTCCGAGGTACCACTTGCTCAGTGCAGCCCACCGGGGTCTGCTCTCGCCAACCCGACTTGGCAGGGGGCACCCCAACTACCCTGGAGCCCTTCTGCATGCTCTCCACTCCCACCCACTCCACCGCTTCCCTTGCCCACCCCGTGGCTCAATCTCATGTGGTCAGCTCCATTGGGCTTCTGACGGCCACCAAAGGCGACAGCCTCAAGGCTGCCTCAGGACAAAGACACCCCTGAGAGGGCTGCTCTGACATCAGACTCCATCCTCTTCGCCCAGAAGTGCTCCTCACAGCTCCCCAGCCTCTCCCCGGAAGTGCTCCTCACAGTTCCCCAGCCTCTCCCCGGAAGTGCTCCTCACAGCCCCCCA